TGCGACCGCCATTACAGGTATCCTAACCCAATCATTAGTAACAGTTGCCGTAATACGAATATTACATAGGTGATTATTCAAATTTTCGCCGTCAATGGGATTTGAACACCCAACCTACCACTTGGGGGGTTGACAACCTGACCACTTTACTAGGTCACCACACCCCCGTTAAATTAAATTGTTTATTTAAAAACTTAATATAAATATAAAGTAAATAAGATTATTAAATTAAAATATATTTAACATTTAGTTAAGAATATAATACAGTCAGGAATTTTACCAAAAATGAAAAGTATAGATCACATTTTGTATAGTATAAAAATGTTAATTACATGATTCTAGATTATTTAATTGTATAAAAATCACATGTAATTGACTAATTGCATTTAACTACAACAAAATTTAAATCTTTTTATTTATTAATAGATTGGATTTACTGTTTTGTACTAAAAATAGTACATTTTATAAAATTTATAAAGGCACCAAAACTTGTTAAAATTAAATAATTTTAATAATTAAAAACCATTATATATTGCTTTATTCAATAAGATAATTTTTATTTTTATTTATAATATAGATAGCCAGAAAAAATAATTTTAAGAATAACTATTATTTTGCAAATATTAATGTACTAGATTTAGTATATTTTTAAACCTAGTTGGACAACTCACTACAAAAAAAATTACAATTTGATTTTAAGAAAACAATAAAATAAATCTCAGGCAATAGATAAAAAACAAAACTTTTACCTTATTATATTATAGTATATACCAAATAGATATGCCATGCCCAACAATCTGAACACATTGCATATAAAATTGTACAATTACAACAGATAGTTGTATGGTTATAACATCTCATGCATTGATATTGTACATATTTGCTTTTGAGGCAGAAGGTTCTGGAATCATTATTAAGTGTAATAAAATAATGTTTAGTATTATCCAAATCTTGTCTTTGTCTTTTTTTAGTTCAATTGACAACTGATACACTTGAATAGTAATCAAAAATCAATCTTGCTAATTGCTTTTGGAACTTGACATGCTTCATATTTTACTTTTTCAGAACAAATTAACAATATGCAGAGAAGCTATTAGCTTCTGCAACTGTAAGATAAAAAACAAAAATATAATCAACTGAACATTTTGATACAAGAACATCATGATACAAAATTAAGTTATCATGCAAATTATTGAGTATGTCTATGACTGATTTATATTCACTATACTTATCAAATACAACAGGATGATGAAATGTCATATTATCATAATCCTTGATGTATTTTCTTATTTCTGATCTAAGAATTGTTAAGAACAACTAGTGAGAAGCACAATATTTTTGCAATCTCAGATTGAACACACTGTTAAATCAATATTATTCATTGTGTGAGTCTAACTAACAAATAATCCATATACATCCTCAAGTGCATCTATAATATTATAAAGGATATGTTTAGGCCAATAATAACATTTTTTTATTTGTAAGATAGAAATGCTATGATTATATAAAGCAGTACACATATCAATATTACCAAACCAAGAATTGCTAATAACTGTTTACTATTGCAAAACCATAGTTCAGTCAACCTTAATATAGATATGACAGTGGATGGATACTGGTTAGAAAATTTTTTTTTGTAGCATATTCTAAAAACAAATTAGCTTGTGTATTTGCAGTGGCTATAAATTCACAGCCAATTGGATAGGGTTTTCTTGAAATTTTTTGTTGAAATAGATCTTTATCAACCTTGCCAATCTATTGGCATATTGATTCATCTATACAAAGATAGGAGCCAAGTGAAATAGCCATTGTAAGATTGTTCTTAAATGCATTGTGAAACTGCTATGTAAAGTAAAAAGGATCATTATTTTCTGTTACATTAGTCAGTTTCAAATATTTTATAATTTTTTGAAACTGTAAATAGAGCATGTATTAATCAAATGCCAATAAAACTTCTACTGTTTCTTGTTTGATAATCCAATAATTATGAACATCAGCATATCTTATATATATTATTATAGTTAAAAGGCCAATAAACCTCATAAATTCTATTTAAGTTAGATCATGTTACCCTTTTTTATACTCACATACATATTTATTAGTAGACAGAATCACTACTGATATTATATAATCAATAGGCATAAAATGCTCAAAAAACTATCAGAACATTGCATTGGTAATATTTCCAATATGCATAACAGATATACTAGAATAAAAGTAAGATACTTAATGAGAATCAATGATAACAGTTTTATTTGCCCATAATGTTCTATTTACATTACTAATATTTAATACTTCTTTACCCTCATTTTGATTATATTCACTATCATTACTACTTGAATAATCCATTTTACTACTATTTTCTTTCTCTGAGTCATCAATTATATATTGATTAGCATCTTTATTACTTGTAGAAAAACCTTCAAACTTCATATGACTTGCAGCAACTTGAAATTGTGTTTCTGGTTGTGAATCGAGGGAAATTACCTACTGATTTTTACTCAGTACTGCTTGTATAACCATTGCTGAGAGTCTTTTAGTATTCTATAATTTACTTAAAAATAAATGAGCAATGTTTTTATTCACAACAGAGCTCAGAACAGAAACCTTGGCATCTACTTTGATATTAGGTAAAATCTATTACATTGTAAGATTAAAAAAAAAGTTCAAGATTTTTTTTTTTTTTTAAATAAAAAAAAAATTTCATACTTCTATGTATACATGATATCTACCACTATCTATACTTAGTTATTCTTTTACGACTAGTGCATTAGGCACCCAAAAACACCTAACTTATAATCAAAAAGGAGTTGATAACCAAAAATTTTCAAGATTTTTGATTTATATTATTAATGCCAACTGATTTTATCTTACTTTGAACAATTGTTTTATATATCAAATTATTTATTAACTACATTATGCTTACAAATCAGATATTTAATGCCCATTTACTTATTATTTTAACTTTCTTAAATTGATTGATTTGAGAACTATACAGGAAAAACTTGTAAGTAAAATTTTATTCATTAATCACTATACAGAGCTTAGTAATTTGGCACTGGGACATGACCAATTATAAGGAATGACAAATAAATATTTATTACTTAAACTATATAATAAATGATTATTTGTTATACATAATAATTGATCATGCCCAGTGCCAAATAATTAAGATCAGCATAAGATTAATGAATAAAATTTTACTTACAGATTTTTCTTGTATAGTCCTTATTTATTTAATATGATTGTTATCAAAATTTATTGTCTAACAATATATTTTTTGTAATTAATACATGATTTTGTCTTATGTGAAATTCTGATAAACCTATAAAATTCATTATCAAAGCCCTATAATATAAGTAAGTAGCATATTAAGTTTAAGCTTAATTATCTTATTTTGATTGGTAAAAATTTTACTGTTTTCTGTACTAAATCTAGTACAAAGTTCTAAATCTAGTACAGGTAAATCCAATCCATTAACTAAAAGAAGTTAGTTTTCATTTATCTTTTTTATAATAGTTTATTGTAAATATAAAATAAGATTATTTATAATAAAAATCTTATATTAGCTATTTGTATATCATTTAATATCAAATAAATAAATAAAATATCAAAAGATTCTATAATGATAAAAAATATTACACAGCCAATCAAATTCATAGAATGACACAAAGATCACTAACATTTGATTAAAATTTATAAAATTAGCTAGTAGTTAAAATTAGTTATTTTCTTTGTATAATATTTGTTGTTGTTTTTTTTTGTGTTAAAGTTATGCTTTCAAAAATCTAAAAATATTAATTTTCAAAATTTATTTAATTAAACAACTAAACAACAAAAAAACAACTATAACTTTTAAATAACATTTTTAATAAACCTATTACTTATTTTTAATAAGTTTTTTTTTTAACCAATAAACAAGATTTAATACTTTTTTGCATAATCTAACATAGGATTGTTAATAAAATACTCCAAGCTATAATAAAACATAGGAACCACTCCAGTTTAAAACTAAAATGGTTTATATGTTTTATTGTAGCTTGAAGTACTCCATTAACAACCCTAATCTAACATTAAAAATGTTTCTTTTTTTAACTTTGAATTACTTTTATTTATTTTTGCTTTATTTTTTTTTTATTCTTGTTATATTACCAATTAATATCCTATACTTGAATATATAAACAACTTTACAAAATCTGGTTTATAATGGTCTTTTTGATCGGTCAATTTCTAAGTTATTGACCTTCTTTCTGACGTAATGCGTCAATTTCACGCAGCTTACAGTATACTTCATCCCTACGCCGAATTGCCTTTCTTAGTCCTTCCCATGTTTCTTGATAGCGCCTCAATATCTCATTACTAACCACAAGCAAAGACGTTAATTCGTTACGAACTTGTATCATTATTTCTAATCCTGGATCCTTCGTCTCTTGAGCAAGTTTACCTCTGCTCCTATCACTCCCTTGTAAACCCACGTTTAAAACTCCAAAACCTAATCCACCTTCAACCTCTTCTGCCTTAACACCACGTGTACTGACAGTTTCCGGAGGTGGATTAAGTCGGAAATCCAAATCTTGGTGCATAACATCATCACCTTGTAGCACATACATCAGTCTACTTAATTTCATGTTAAATATTTTCTCTTTCTCAATCTTTTCACACAATACTCTTGTCAGTGAATTAAGATGATTGCTTTTAAAGATATGTTTGTAATGCAGTTTTATTACTGCATCTTCTGGCTTTTTTAGCGGATCAAGAATTTCCTTAACATTAATATCTTTATATGGACTATCTAACAAATCACCATCAAACTCCGTGGCTTGTTCAGCATCTGTTGATACATGATAAATAATTGGACGTCTTGAACCATTAGGTATATCAATGTATTCTAAATCTTCTTGATAACCGTATGGAGCACGTAATTTAACACCACTATCTAAAGCATTAGCTCTATTTTTCATTTTATGTCCTCTATTATGTGGCGTCAGACCAATTTCGTGATCATTTGTTATGAAGTCGTCATTTAGACTAGTTGAAATGGAATAGTCCATTATAACAGAACCTGTATATCTACTAGAACGTGGACTACTTTCGACATTATTAATAGAACTAGTCCCTAAAGTTAATTCTGAAAAACGTGACATGTTATGAACATTATATTCTGAATTCATAGGTCGTTGTTGATCTGCTCTTTGCCTTGATGACATGACAAGAACTCTCGCAGCATCAGCAGCTTCCATGTTTTCTTGATATGTAGCTTCCTGTTGAGTATATTTCATGGTTGTTTTGTGAGATTGTTTATGATGAGAAGTTCTAGAAGTCGGATATGAACTTTTAGAGTTTGTAGATGATGTTTTCGCGGAATTTTGTGTAATTGTTTGTGTATTCGGTTTGCGTTGTTGTGAAGAATGTGAAGAATGTGAAGAAACATGTTGCATAGATGGTGATATCGTAACATTGCGATGGGTAGGAGTCTGTTGATGAACAGGCTGCAAAATTGGAAGACTATCAGAGACAACAGGTCGTGAATTATTACGATTTGATAAATGAGAAGTTGGTTGACTAAGAGGTGAAGTTTGCACATGTGTCGAATTAGTTTCGTTTATATTACGAGGAGGCTCAGCTGGAAGTATATGTGTGTGCGACATTTGTTTCGAAGGAGTACCTTGATGTGATCGTTCACGTTGCATTGATAAATGAGGGATAGTTGATGATATTGTTTGTGGGGTTGATCCTGAAGAGACAGTAGTAGATAATACTGGTTGTCTTGATTGCGGACCAGTATCTTGCATGGAAATTGGTAAGGACATTTGTAAAGAACGAGTCTGTCGATTTGAATTGGATGGTAAATCGGTTGGTACGGTAGAAGTTGTCATACGAGTTGATGGTAGCATCAATGAATTTTGTTGAGAATTATGAAGTAGCGGAGTATTAAAATTATGTTGAATAGACGGTGCATTTGTATTACTTTCAAAATTTTGTTGTGTATTAATATTCATTCCTATAAGAGATCTAGCGACTGAAGTGGGAGACGTGTTAACTAAAGGTCTGTAAGTTACCGTTTCAAGAGCATATATTGGTGGTGGGTTCATTAAAGGAACTACTTGAGGAGTAGTAGCTGCTTGATGCATTACCCCTGGCTGTCCACTTTGAGGACCTCTGGAAGAAGATGTTAAACCGATCGGATGACTTGATACATTTTGCATTGGCATGTTTCCAGAATTTGGCATAATCGCTTGAGGTTGTTGAGCATGTTTCATAAGTGGACTAGATGAATGACGTGTCATTTGTGATATTCTGGGTGGAATATTGGGACTGGGTACATGTGCATTATAAACCAATCCATGGTTGGGTATTAACGGAGATATTGGGTCTGGGCTTTGAGAAAAGCTAAGACTTCCCTGAAAAACCGACTTGTTAGACAAAAGTTCTTTTATATTTGCTGTAAACTATGATAATGCTCGTACCAACCTGCTGTAAAGTATTTTGTTGGGAGTTAGAAGCCTGTTGTATGTTTGGGCGTATTGCCTGAATTGGTACATTCGTTTGTTGCATTCCCACAGGCTGATGGACATTCGTTTGAGGACCACTAATGATTGGCCTCCTTTGACTTTCTTGCCTCGAAGCCGAGCCTGTTGAGGATGGATTATCGAGTGGTGATTTATGCATCTTTTATGTTCTTCCAATTCCTTTAATAATAATTCGGTTGTGAAAAAAACAATGATTTGAGATCGGGTTGGAAACGCAGCATTATCGTTATACATTGTGTTTGGGTGGCTTAGTATTAAAGCGATGAATTTTTTTTAAAATTATATAATTTGATTGGTTAATTATCACGGGCAATCACAGGTTGGTCTATAAAAATTAGCCAATCAGACAAATGCCGTCCTATGACATCTTGCTTGTTCATGCACACTTTTTGGTTATAACAAAAAAGGAAAAAGAAATTACAAAAAATCAAAAATTCTATTCCAATGAATCATGATCCGTCTAATAAACAAGAAACATCATCTACCACTCAAACTTCAAAGCGGCATCATGTTCGTCGAAGGTCATATTACCCTTCAACAATACGTATTATATTAGGCCATTTTGCATCCCTCACTATCTTTCTGTTTCGACAACTTTTTCGATCTAATAATCTACCTTTTCTTTTGACATTTCTTTGGCACACGTATTATGCGCGAAGGCTATTGCGTTTGCCGAGAACCTATTTAAAAAGGTATTTTGTTCTGGGAAAAAGAGACCCACCGCCGGTAATTGCTATTGATGTGCTCCAAAGATTAGGGGGAATAAATTTGTCTTTGGGGCTATTGGCATTGTTAGCTCTTATAAGATTTCGAGATATGACAACACAAAAAGTGACATTGCTAGTATTATCTGTGGCTAATGGAGCGCAGGCTTGGAACGATGTGATTAATTGGAGAAGTGGTCGATGGAATTGGAATAATTTGGCGGAAATTGGTGGAAGTGACGGAACAATTGCTTTGATGAATATTGTGGCTTACTGTATTTCTGTTTTAAGGAGTGGTTCCTTATTGTAATTAATAAACTTAAATTAAATATAAAATGTAAATTTTACCATTATCAATTCTATGAATGGCTTTCAAACGTTTGTTATGATGTTTGACTATAAACTTTTTTTTTTTTATAAATACAGGATAATCAGTCCAAATTTTGTATCTGGGTTACTATTTCATTTCAAATGTTAAATATCTGGATGATTTATTATTTCATATACATTCATGAAGTCTTTTTTTCGATCCAAATTAATTTGAAAAAAAAAATATTTTATTAATAAAAGCTGATGATTTACATAGGTTTCCAATTTATTACGTATTGCCACCAAGAAATATGATAAGTATGAAGCTAACTATGTAAAGGAATTTTATAAAATTGCCAAATAAAGAAAATTGCAAAATTCTTATTAATTATAGTTCAAATTTCATTCAAAAAAGCGTTTAATTTTTTCACTCAAAGGATCCTTAGGAAATTGCCTTTGATATTCCAGGCTTTTAGCATGCTCCTTTGCTCTTTTTTCTCTCAATCCCTTAAATTGATAATCACCTTCTCCATTATTACCTGGCAAAAAGGAAAAGGCAAAACTTTCAGGTGTAAATCCGAAAATTTTTGATCGTTGACGTGTATATCTGGTTTGAACTATATTATTAATTCCTTCATTGGATTTCCCTTCTTTCCGATTTGCAACCTGATTATTTTTCTTATGCTTCGTTTCAGATGATCTGTTAGTGTTGGTCTGTTCTTGAGTTTGTTGTTCCATGGTATCAGTTTATTCTAATTTTTGGAGAGAAGTTATTTCATCTATAATTCTAAAATATTCAAATTATATATGATAAATATTTTGTTCATATTAAATCGTATATATAATACGTAAATGTATCATATTGATACAGAAAGTTTATTATATGAAGTTGTACGTATCAAATATATTGATTAGCACAAGTGTTATCGTTATCTACTGATCATTCAAATAAAAATAATTTATTATACCCTCCATGTATAATACAGTAATATCCGGGTATTTTTTCTATAGCACACTAAGTATAATACTCCGGTATTATATTTATAAATTTTAAAATAATTTCGTCAAAGACCCGGGTATTTTATGTAGGTTTATTAGAATTTTAAGCGCACTAAGCTTATGACAGAATATTTAACAGAAGAATTACTATCGCTATATATTGATTTTTAAATTAAAATGATAAAACAAAAATAGTTTATAATTAGTGACCATATTTAAAAGCTATACGTATAAGAACCATTAAATGCCCGCGATAGGTGCGTTTTATAAATGTAAAAATTGTGTAACAATGTTTTTTATATAAAAAAACCATGCAACGAATTACGTTAAATAAACGAAAAGATGGCAAAGATAGTAAATTCCAATGAAGAGCTGATAGATATTGACGATGAAGCACCGAATGCGAACCAACAGACCAGACACGTTTGGGAAGAGGAATATAAGCGTAGTTGGGATGGTTTACAGGAAGACGAAAACGGAAGTTTAAAGAATACCGTCGAACATCTTCAAAATCGCAAACGAAAGAGGTTCGAGCTTCTAAATGCAGAAATGCTTAAAATTTATTTCCGTTAATATAATTTTCAAAACTTGCGATTGTATAGGCTAGAACGTGATACGTCTATAATTAAACGTGGAATTATAAGACACATGTTCCTGATCATAGATCTATCTGAAGCTATGTTGGAAAAGGATCTTAGACCTTCTCGGTTGGATTTAACATTATATTATGCAGAACAATTCGTTCTAGAGTTCTTTGATCAGAATCCTATAAGCCAACTTGGAATTATTGTTTCAAAAAGTGGTATGGCCGAGAAACTCATGGGATTGTCTGGTAAAAAAAAAATGCTATCCTAATACATAGGTTGATTCATGAGCATTCAGATGATCCTAATTTCTCATAATAATGCAGGTAATCCTATGGATAATATAAATGTTTTAAAAAAAAGAAACATTGATACGGATGGTGAACCTTCCTTGCAGAATGCGCTAGAAATGGCTCGATCTTCGTTGATGTAATTACCCGTACTATTTATAAATTTATAAAACTGCTTTTGTTTATGATTTACCGATACTTTTAAAACCCTTCTTTAGTCATGTTCCAGCTCATGGATCACGGGAAATTTTGATAATAATGGGATCTCTGACGTCGTGTGATCCTGGAGATATTAATGAAACCATTGATAGTCTAGTGTCGGAAAATATACGCGTCTCAATTGTTGGATTGGCAGCAGAAGTTCAGATATGTAAGCTTATGTGTAAGAAGACTAAAGGTAATTAGTTAGACAATGTTCATTCAGATTAGATTATATTTTGTGTATCTGGTTTAAATTTTTTTTTTTTTTAGGAACATATGGAGTTGTTCTTAACGAAGTTCATTTTAAAGATTTACTTTTTGAAATAATACCACCACCTCCAGTGTCCGCTGTCAAAAGTAAATCTGAATTGGTTGTTATGGGATTTCCAAGAGGGGTTAATGAGTCGGTACCCTCATTATGCGCCTGGTATGGTTATGCTTGTATATATCGAATGTCGTTAAAGGGATAAGTGACCTTTGACAGACTTGTAGTATTGATTGCACAGCCATTCGAAGCCTGTTTCCGGTGGTTATATATGCGCTCGATGTAATTCAAAAATATGTGATTTGCCCACCGATTGCCCAATATGTGAATTGACTTTAGTGTCAAGCCCTCATTTAGCACGGTCGTATCACCACCTATTTCCGGTTGCAAATTTCGAAGAGGTTCCTTGGAGCAGGTTAGTCCTACTTATCGAACTTACAATATTTGTTTAATGATAACTTTCGAAGTTCTCATGTACACAATTTCGGTCCATATAGTGCTCGTAAAACACATTGCTTCTCATGTCAAATGCCTTTTCAAACTCAACCGCAAGTTGTGACCGGGCGTAGTAGTAATATAACATCAATAGATTCTAGCGGAAGATACAATTGTCCCAAATGTAAAAAACATTTTTGCATTGAGTGTGACACATTTATACACGAAGTCATACATAATTGTCCCGGATGTCTTTCAACATCGGAAAGTAGCATATAACTAACTACAGTCTACCAATTTACCAAATACGAGAAGCGTCGATCGCACCTATTATGAAGGTCGCGTACGTTAGAATTACTTTTTGATGCAGTTAGGGTTATTGGCCTATATAATATAATTTATGCAGCATGTAGATCAATATATTAAGGGTACGTAGAGTGTACGTACGTATAATTTTAATTATACGTACAACTATATTATACAAATAAAGGTTATATAATCAAAATTTTTATACGTACGTAGATTAAACCTTTTAAAATATGCAAAATATTAAAATTATGATTGTTATTTGTACAACATATTTATATAATTAGAATTAGAAATTAGTTAAATTATATAAAAATAGTACAGATAGAACTTTATAAATGTACAAACTTAGTAAAAACTTTTAAATGCACAGTATGGTCTGGTTTTAATTTATAAAAGTTAAATATATATATATATTTTTTTCTTAAGCGGTCATGCTAGTACTTTATTAAGATTTTGAAATTATATTTGCAATTACATAAATATTTTTAACAACTAAGTCTAGTATCACCTAGTCACCCTAATGGTACCTAAGTGCAACCTGTTGCATTACTTTAAATAGAAATAAGCTGCTTGTCTAACTACTTAAAGTTCATAATGAAAAGTTTTCTTCTTTCCATGACAAGTTCTAAAATTATCTTTTGTGTTTTTTTTCAATTTGTTTTTTTTTTTTTTCTTAGTTTTTTTTTTTTCTTCTATTTTTTGCTGATTTGGTTTTTTTTTTTTACTTAGTGTTTTTTTTTTTTTTTTCTTCTTTTTATCTTATCTGTTATTTTTTTATTTTTTTCTCATTCATTAATTTTTTTACATCAGATTTTCTATACTTATTTATAAAACATATCTTAGGTCATTTTTGTTATTATATTTATAAACTATTGTCTTGATTTTATGCTTAAACATTGTCTCAATCTGTTTTATGTTTTTTTTGAAATAAGATCTTTAATTAGTGTTCATCTTATTTCTATTTTTTCTATTTCTGTTTTTTCAAAGAGTGTTGTATATAATATATATGAAGAGAACTAAACTTTTTCTTCATTTTTCAATCT